ACTGCGACAACCCCTGAAGAGAGCAGCCAATAGAAGATGATGACTGGTGTCATAACAGGTTTTCAATTCATAAAAATAAAGATTACACCAGTCAGATATTCAGAACCCTCGAATTCCTTTTAAAAACAGCTAATGTGTTTCATCATGTCTGAGCTATAATTTCAAAATAAGATCTTTAAGACATGGTTCATTTGTCTCCAGCTGCTGTAAGAATACATCTGTTTTTGTAAGCAAAGCATTTATTATTACTGCCTCTTTTTATATAATCCAATAATTCATTCATGAACAGAAATATAACTTAAATATGCTCCCCCCGCTTTTGTAGTCAGAAACTGCTGATCTGTAGCAGTTCCTGTGTTCATATTTAAAGTGCAGCACTGTAGTATCTCTCCATGCACACTGCTGCTAACCTTGCACTTCCTTTTTCAGCTGTGAGACGTTAGTTTCCTGTGTGGCCTCACCCAACTTCATCTTGTTTTCCACTGAGCAGCTGACAGAAAGCTGCCGTGTGCTTTTAGAAAGCCTCCACAGGGTGTTCCTCTCCTTAATTATGACCATTTTTTCAGACACACAGCTTCACATTGCACCTTCCTTGAGTCCCCTCCCAGAGATCAGCAGGCGCCTGGAATCCGTATTTCGCAGCGCCCCTGAAGGCCCCATCAGCCTGCCCTAATTTGACGTCAGCAGCAAGATGTCTCCACCTCACAGGTTCAGCTCAGGACTTCACGGGACTCGTTAAACACAAGGGGCGGTTTTATTTTAACACCATGTGGCACACCTGTGTAGTGACGCTCGTGTCCTGCGTGCAGAAGCTCTGACCTCACCTGAACTCACCTGACCTCAGGTGAGTTCAGGTGAAGTACAGGCTACTTGAAACATGTCACACAGGAAGCTAAAAGATGTAAAACTGCATGAATTCAGAAGTCAGCCCAGGAAAACTCACACCTGCCTGTTCATGAACCGGACCTCAGGTCCAGGTGTGGGTTGGGTGACCAGGTGACCCTCTTTATGAGGGACTGCCGAGCATTGTTATCCCCGGGCCTCCACATCATACAGCGACAGCACAGAGATTTGCTGATCTGTGGATGTAGGTCGACACAAATAACAGAAAATTGAGAAATATTTTTAATAATTATTGATCGCATTCTCCTGAACCGAAAGTTGATCAAATATGAGTTAATAAAACCACAGAATTTTTCTTCTTTAATGTCATGCTCATGTTTGCTAAAGATCAGAACAGTGAGAAGGAAAGAGGAGAGGCATAGACTGTATATGAAAGATGGACACAGCTCACATGTTGGTTCATGGAGTGAAGATTAAAGCCTCCAGTTTAACATTTTTGGCTGCCACCATGCTGGTTACTGGGACCCAGAAGTGACCATGTTTAGACAACAGTGTGCAGTATTCATTTATCAGCTAATGAGAACGAGCTGCGTTCATAAACAGTATGGCAGCGCCTACAAATTAGTGTGGAAATAGAATTTCACTCATGACAAACAAATTAAAAAAATGCTCCAAACAGCACAAACACAGTCCAGAGGTCCAGTTCAGGGACTCGAGTTACCAGAGGTGAAGCCTAACAGACAGCTAGCAGCTACAGCCGCAGTGTCACCATCCACCTATCAGGCCAGAGGAGCCACGCCCCGAATAGTTCGAACTTTCAGCCTTTATGCAGTTTACACAGTGACTCCCCACCTGCACAGGTGTTATAAAGAGAACATCTGTAGAGACCGAAGTTTGTGTATCAGGCTGTAAACGTGTTCATATCTCCAGCAAAGTTTTAACATGGGAGTCTATGGGATGGACTCACTGCGAGAGCCTCTAGTGGATGTTAGAGGAACTGCAGCTTTTTGTGCCTCATCGCTGGATTCAATAATTGTAAAAACATTTG